GGCCCCCCCGGGCGGGTGGCGGGGCGACAAGGGTGCGGCTTGGTGGCGTAAGCCGCACCGGCGGCGGCGAGCGGCGCGTAGAAGGACGAGTGCAGCAGTGAGAGGCGCCGCTCGTACTTCCGCTCCGAGGCGTGCAGCTCAACCACCTGTTCAGGCGCGGTGGTGTGAAGAGTTGATGCTCATAGTTCGCAGCGAAAGCGCAGCTCGACCACCGCCACTGCGCGGCCGCGCCACGCCGCCCGCACCTCTCGCCACGCCCACCGCACGGCGGCGCCCCGCGTGCGAGCCTATGATAGGCGAGCGCATGGGGTTTCCCACTCTCTCTCTCTCTCTGTCTCTGTCTTGTGTGTGCGCGGGCGTTGCGGGAAGCAAGAGGGGTACTAGCATGCTTGCTGAGTCAACAAACCCCGCGTACAAGGCCCGGTGGGTGCGGTGGGCAGAGCGCGCGCCTGGACGCGCGTCGCGAGGACGGCCCACTCCGCGGCGCTGGAGGCGCGGCGCGGCAGGACGTCTCCAATGCCTGGCGAACGCTGCCTGCGGTGCACACACACGCAGGTTGGGGTGTGGAATGCCAAGGCTGCTCATGGCTGTACCCCGGGTGCGACACAGCGCGCCACGCTCACTCTCGCGCATCTAAAAGCTGAGGTGCCGCATCGGGCCGCGGAGTGTGGCCGCGCGGCTAGAGTGCAGCACGCCGGCGTCCTTTGCGCCGGGGCTTGCGGCAGCAGCCTCCCCCAAAGCAACGGGCGTGCCTGTCGGGCCTTTGGAGAGCGCGCCACACGCGTGGACGCCGGCTCCGCAGCGGATGGAGGGGAGCGGCGTTGAGACGAGGCTGTCGTCATACTCGGACTCGACCTACCGAAAAGGGACAGGAGACTCCAGCGCGTGCGGTTGATGCAGGCCGCCCCGCCCCAGAGGGCCCGGACCAGGCTGGCAAAGCTCGGCGTCGGAGGAGCCGCCCACGCGTCCCGCTGCGCCTCGAGTCTGAGGGGCGGGCGGGCGGTGATGGGGGGATGGGGTTGGGGGGGGGGGGGGCGGCAGTGGGGGCGCGGAGCGAGAGGGCGGGGACGGAGGCGGGCGGCCGGAACGGGCTCTTGAGCAGGCGGTTTGGCTAGCGCAAGCGGCGAGGGCGGGCGACGTGGGGCAGGCGAGCAGACGCCTCGAGCAGAGGCCAAGCAGGGACCGAGACGCCTTGCGAATCGCCTCGCCGCGGGCGGACGCGTCGCCGGTGGCAGCCGCCGCATCGACGCATTCCCGCGCCTCGAGCGCCTCTGCCAGCGCGTACGAGATAAAAGCGACCGCATCCGCGGCGATGCCGCGCCATGGCGCAGCTTGCGGTGGGATGGCAGCCATTCGGCGCCGATCGCTGCTGCACGAGTCGATTGTGCGCGATGCGGGCAAGGCGTCTGCCTGCGGCGTGTCCACCAAGAGAGGCGGCGGCGCTGCGGCGTGGAGGTACGGCTCGGGAGGGTCGGGGTTGAGAGCGCGAGGCGACGGTGACGTTCGCAGCTTGTTGGAGACGTCAACGAGAGGGGCCTCCCCCTCCAGGGCCCCGGCCGGCGGCTGCGCGGAGGACCGCTCCTCGATGCACAGCCTCAGCTGCGACCGCAGGTTGAGCACGGACTGCCTCGACTTTGTCTGTCTGGGCCGCTGCGCTCCGCCCGCTGCGCCGCCCGGGTGGACGTCGGCGCAGGGCTTCATCTCGTGAGTGATGGGCCAGCGCGACCACCGAGCAGCAATTCAAGCGCCCGTTGGCTGTCTTTTCTTTTGTCGTGCCAGTGTGCTGTGAGAGAGGCTTGTATCTTAAGAATTCTTTTGCCTTTCTTCAAGTAGGGCAAAAAGGGCCACAGTCCCGCTATGGGACTCGCAGTTCGCGCGTGCCAACAGGTTGAGAGTCCCAAGAGTGCCCGACCGACCGACAGAATCACCTGACAGCACCTGACAGCCTGACAGCCAGGGCTCAGCCGCGGACGACCATGACGTCGGCCAGCGGGACCCCCCCGTGCGGGGGATTTCGATGGCTGTCAGCGCTCCTCCGGGCTTTGCATCACACCTCCCATTCACGCACGTAGCTGAAGCAAGTACTCGTAAAAACGGCGCGTCAAATGCAGCATCCAGGCGTCTAAAGAAGACGACATGAATGGTTCACAGAGAATGTGTTCAGACCTTTGCGCGGGGGGTGTGAACAGCCATTCCGCGTGGTTGAGGGGTTGAAGGGGTCTGTCAACCACTTGGTTGAGGGTTGAGGCCTCTGTCAATTCAAGCGTCCCGGGGGTCGGTCTTTTCTTTTCTGCTCCTGTGTTAGTGCCAGTGCGCGCCAGTCCCGTGCCCAGTGTTGTGCGAGGGAGTTTTGTTGTAAAATTCTTTTCTGCTCGTCTTCAAGTGACGCCGTTATTCGCCACCCCCCTTGTATTCCGTATCGCCTTACGTACTTACTTCTGACGTATTCGCCACCCCTCTTGTATTCCGTACGTATTCTCGGAGCGGAAGCTTCGTGCAGGACTGACGAGGGGGCAACTCGAGTCTACTCTCAAAATAACGCTAAGACCAGACACAGGCCAGAGCGTGCGAGATGGGGCACTTGGGGCTACGGCCCTCACTCCGAAATAGGTGGGGCGTGGTGCTGGGCACGGTACATGGCGACGCGAGGCGGCGGCGCGGCGCGGCGGCGGGCGACGCAGGGCGGGGCGGCGCGACCACCTGCACTGGCCTCTGGTCTCTGGCCTTTTTGGAGCAGGGCAGTGGTCGCGTCGCCCATGTCCGGACCAACACCCCGACCGGCGAAGACGGAATATACTCCGTGCCGGCGGCCCCGTCGGCGGCGGCGTCGATCGGATCGCGTCGCGCCGGCGGGGGTGGTGACCGAGCGGGCAATTGCTCCGCTGGCCGGCGCGGGGTCGCGCCAGCGGGGAACAGGTGAGTAAGGCGGCATCGACGCTGAACGGTCTCGAAACCCACCCCACCACACTGAAAGACCACCGGCCAGTTGACGACACTCGACACACTCCCAGACGCCCGCCGATGAAGCCGGGAGGATGTATGGAGGAATGGTAACGACCTCTCCAGATTGGTTGAGCCCCGGCATCGATGGTGGGAAGAGGGAGGATCCCCCCCCCTTCCTCAGTTCAATCCCCGAGAGGAGAGGCAGAGCCTCAGGCAGAGCCTCTGGCGCGGTGAGACCACCCGTAAGCTCTCAAGGCCGACCCCCCCTCCGGCCTAGTTGGTCGAAGCGCCGACCTTTAGGTCTAACAAAACAGACATTTTGAGGTGTTGGACGGACGGAAAAACACCCCCCTTTTATGCCTGACCCTGGGCATGGCCTCTCTGGGTGTGAGCTGGGTCGGCCACCTCCGGGTCTGCAACTCGCACGGTGGGGCCGCATCCGGGCGAGCATCCGAGGCCTGCGGTTGTCCTTTCGCTGCGCGCGACCGCCATGGAGATCCGTTGCACACAGATCAGTGGTTTTGTCGACTTTTGCTCAATCTCTGTGCACTCGCACCGCCAGAGGCCGCGCTCGGAGAATGTGCCGCAATGCTGCTGCGTCACTCAGTGGATTGAGCCGCGGCGCAGGCTCCATCGGTGAGCTGCGGCGGCGCGCCGGCCGCTCCATGCATAGCTCTCCGGCGAGCAGTCGCGAACGCGTTTTCCGTCCGTCGTTTCATCGAGTTTGCCCGAGTGGTAAAATGCAATCGAATTTGCCCGAGTGGTAAAGTGCAACTTTGGCATTTGGTAAAAGTTGCCCGAGTGGTCTGATGGGAAAAAACCAAAGCACTTGTGGCCCCAAGAGCTATAAAGGTCAACATCCCCTCCGGCTACGACAATGTGAACCTGATCTGGTCCTCACGGGGTTGACCCGTCTCCTCCAGATCGAAACGGACTTCATGCACGGCCGGGCAATATTTCTTCGTTACTATTATTATTTGATGCTTTTTGCACGGCTGAGCCCCCCCCCCCCCTCCCCCCTCCCCCGCGCCCATTCCCTGCCCTCTCCCGCCTCACACTCCGTCAGAGCCCCCTCCCCTCTTGCACAACAGGAATTCTGACAATTAACCAGATGAACCCCTCTCCCGCCATCCCCTGCAGGTGCAGGGGAGAAACATAGTGAAAATTGATGGGCTTGCCCATCCCGGAGTGGTTCGACTCCACGCAAACCCGAGACGGTGACGGGGGGCGTCGTACGGTGGTCTCATGCCCAGTGAGGTAGTGCATCTGACTACCCCGGATCCTGCTGAACAAGTTCCTCTTGTAGCTCGATCGGTCACACCGCCATCGCCGTCGGGGAGAGAGGGGACGACACTGCTTCGGCAGCGTGCACCTCGATCCTGTACCGTGTTTGTTAGGACCCCCCCCGAGCCCCGATGAACACACCAGTGAGGGAGGGCGAGACGATCGAGGGGTCCCGTACCATGCGGAATCGACCCTATCCAGTGCTCAAGTGGAAGTGCTCACCAGACAGGCAGGAGCTTCTCTCGGAGGTTTTGCGCAAAAGGTGGCCTAGTTGGTCGAAGCGCCGACCTTTAGGTCTAACACTAACACAGACAGGTGCACCACGTGGAGCCGCCTAAGTAAGCCGCTGCGAAAAGAGTTGCTTTAAGGTCCTCCGGGCCCCTTTAGGGAGGCAAACCCTGGCCGGCCCCTAGAACCCCAGGTAAGGCCCAGGTGTGGCCTAGGGCATCAGAAGGGACCAAGAGGAGTCCAGTCTGAGCCATAGAGCCCATGTCTTTGCCCCCGAAGGTCGCGTTCAAATGCCCGGAACGGACGTTACAGTGGTGTCCGGCCGGCGCGATCACCGAGCTGTGACGCTCAGGGAAGACTGATGAGGTGCTGGTTTCTTTGCCCAGGGCTGGCCTACGGCCCGTGCTGGATCAGCTGAGCAAGGTTTGGGGAGAATCCTATAGTAGGATCTTCAGATATTTTCACGGATGCCCGAAATCACCCGTTTTGCCCAATTTCG